CCTTCCTACCGTGCCCATTACCAACCCCCCCAATATACCCTCATTTCCCCAGGGAGGGTGAGGTCCTCCATGGGGTTGTCCATAGTCTGTCATTTCATAAAGGGCAGGGCCTAGACCCTCTCCCAAGAGTTCAGGGTGAGAGTGCATCTCACATTGTTGGATGGGAGTCCAAAGTCCATTTGTATACCCAGGATAAATACTGATCTACTGCCCAAGGCTCAATAGATTACCTAGGCCTCCTCAATGACACCCCCATTCAGGGGGTCTTGATATGCCCCACGCTGCATTGCCAGGCATCAGCCTGGGATTCAAGAGTTAATCCTTGTCAAGTCAGGTCATCTGTTTCTGGGGGTTAAACCATCCCAGTCTTAAGCCCTTTGGTCATTAGTCCTCCCTCTCTGTTACTGGCTTTCTTGAGTTCAGCTCAGTGCTTAGCCATGGGAGTCTGCCTCTTCTTCCATCAGCCACTGAATGAAGGTTCTGTTTCCCAGACTCTCTGGCCATGGGATTGTAGGCTGGCACTCCCTAGATCTATGTCTAAAATCCATATATGAGAGAGTACATGCCATGTTTCTCTTTTTGTGACTGTGTTACCTTGCTCAGGATGGTTTCTTTAGTGTCATCCATTTGCCTACAAATCTCAGGATTCCATTGTTTTTTCTGCTGAATAGAACTCCATTGTGTAAATGTACCACATATTCTCTACCCATTCTTCGGTTGAGGGATATCTAGGTTGCTTCCAAGTACTGGCTATTACAAATAATGCTGCTATGAATATAGTGGAACAGACATCCTTGTATCAATGGGCATCTTTTGGATATATGCCTAAGAGTGGAGTTGCTGGGTCTTTTGGTAGGTTTATTCCCATTTTTATGAGTAATCTCCATACTGATTTCCAAAGTGCCTGTAAAAGTTCGCACTCTCACTAGCAATGGAGGGGTGATCCTTTTTTACCACATCCTCTCCAACATAAATTGTCGTTGGTGTTTTTGATTTTAGCCATTCTGACAAGAGGGAGATGGTATCTCAGAGTTGTTTTGATTTGCATTACCCGGATGGCTAAGGATGTTGAGCACTTTCTCAAGTACCTCTCAGACATTTTAGACTCCTCTATTGAAAATTCTCTATTTAGTTCTGCAGCCCAATTTTTAATTGGATCCTTTGGTGTTGTGTAGACTTGCTTCTTGAGTTCTTTGTAAATTTTGAAGATAAACCCTCTGTCATATGTGGGGTTAGTGAATGTATTTTCCCGTTCTGTGGGCTGCGTTTTTGTCTTGCTGACTGTGTCCTTTGCCTTACAGAAGCTTCTCAGTTTCAGGAGGTCCCATTTATTAATTGTTGATCTCACTGTCTGTGCTAGTGGTGTTATGGTCAGGAAGCTGTCTCCAGTACCAATTCGTTCATGGGTACCACCCAATTTCTCTTCTAAGAGTTTCAGTGTGGCTGGATTTATGTTGAGGTCTTTCATCCATTTGGACTTAAGTTTTGTGCATAGTTTTAAACATGAATCGATCCCCATTCTTCTACATGCCAGCCTCCAGTTATGCCAGCACCATTTGTTGAACATGCTTTCTTTATCCCATTGTATATTTTTAGCTTCTTTGTCAAAGATCAGATGTTCATATGTGTGTGGGTTAATATCAGGGTTTTCAATTCAATTCCATTGGTCTACCTGTCTATTTTTGTGCCAATACTAAGCTGTTTTCAGGACTATAGGTCTATAATAGAGGTTGAAGTCAGGGATGATGATGCCTCTGGACATTACCTTGTTGATCAGGGTTGTTTTGGCTATCCTGGGTATTTTGTTTTTAATACAAAATTGATTATTGTTCTTTCAAGGTCTGTGAAGAATTGTGCTGGGATTTTAATGGGGATTGCATTGAATCTGTAGATTGCTTTTGGCAGGATTGCCATTTTTACTACATTGATCCTACCTATCCAAGAGCATGGGAGATCTTTCCATTTTCTGAGGGCTTCTTTAATTTCTTTCTTTAAAGATTCAAAGTTCTTGTGATACAGGTCTTTCACTTGTTTGGTTAGCATTACCCCAAGGTATTTTATGTTGTTTGTGGCAATTGTAAAGGGTGATGTTTCTCTGATTTTTTTCTCAGCCTTTTTATCATCTGTATACAGTAGGGCTACTGATTTTCTTGAGTTGATCTTGTAGCCTGCCACTTTGCTGAAGGTGTTAATCAGCTGTATGACTTCCCTGGTAGAGGTCTTTGGGTCATTGATGTAAACTATCATATCATCTGCAAACAGTGAAAATTTGACCTCTTCCTTCCCAAATTGTATCCCCTTTTGTTGTTGTATGGAAATGGCTGGAACATCAAGTACAATGATGAAAAGGTATAGAGAGAGTTTACATCCTTTTTTGTTCCTGATTTTGGAGGAATTGCCTTGCGTTTCTGTCCTTTTAGTTTGATGTTGGCTGTTGGTTTACTATATAAAGCTTTTATTATGTTTAAGTATGTTCCTGTTATCCCAGATCTCTCCAAGACCTTGATCATGAAGTGGTGTTGGATTTTGTCAAAGGATTTTTCAGCATCTAGTGGGATGATCATATGAGTTTTGTTTTTCAGCTTGTTTATATGGTGGATTACGTTGATAGATTTTCATATGTTGTACCCTCCCTGCATCACTGGGATGAAACCTACTTGATCGTGGTGAATGATTGTTTTGATGTGTTCTTGGATCCAATTTGCCAGTATTTTATTAAGTATCTTTGCATCAATGGCCATGAGGGATATTTCTCTGATGTTCTCTTACTTAGCTGTGTCTTTGTGTGGCTTGGGGATCAAGGTTATTGAAGCCTCGTAGAAAGAGGTTGGCAAGGCCTCACTCATTTTGCATGATAAAATTAGTATGAATGTTGAAGTAGATTCACACACACACACACACACACTTTAGTTATTTTATGAGTGACATACACAAAAAGAATTTGTTGTTTTCCTAAGAAATCATGTTTTCATGTAATATCGAATAACTAGAGAGCTGACTAAAAAGAAAAACAGAAATTGCATTTAGAGACCCCACTATAATCACATGGATTTCCCAAGTTGCAATTTATGTATTTATTCAAGCTGAGAATGTGGTGCATCTCTCTGGTATTATCTATTCATTACTTCCCTTATGGACTATAGATACATTTCACAAAGTGAACCTTGATCTTCCTATCCTGAAGTATATACTCAAAATTTCATAAAGTCAATCATTTGGTTTCAAACATTTTCTTACTCTTCAGTTTCAATCATATAAAATTTAATGGTAGCCTTACTGATATCAAATATATTGTTTACTAAATCACCAATATTAGTAAGATTTTATCATGTACTGAAAGTGGATTCATTTCTTTATGCAAAAAAATCAATGGCCCTTCTCTTCACCTTGAGGAAGCAAAATATAAAGACTAACCCAAGATTATGCTTTCTAACTACTGGTAATTTGCAGTAATTGTATTCTTTTTATTTCAATTAACTGCTTCCCCAAGTATATATTTTCACATCTTCTGACATGAACTCATCACTAAATTGGTTGTAATTATTGAATTACTAATATTAAAATCCTGACTAAAAATAAGCAGATTTATCAGCATTGTGAATCCCATCTTCAGATTGCTTTTATGCTGCCACTGTGCCCAACTTGAGGATTTGCCCCTTTACAAATGAGACTCCTTCATGGACTACAGGGGTGGACTCCAAAGAACAGGCATCAACCTCTATGGAGAGTGACTGACTGAAGCCCCTTGACTTCTAAGGGGCCTTTAGGATTCTAGAAAAAACGCAAAGAACTCTTCTGGTTTTAACAACCTAGGTCATTTCACCCAATTTGTATATCAGCAGTCCTACAAGAAGCCACCAGAAAGATTCAGAATATACTTCTGCTAATTCACAAATCAAACATAAATGACTGAGGTGCCTCTTTAATATTCCAAAGGGGATACTGGCCAAAGTTTTTCTCAACATTTCTAATATCTGTTCCCTTGTAACAGAGTACTGGCTCCTCAGCACTTCCTAACCTGTGACCACACTGTTAACCACTCCAACACCTGAGTTCCAATTTCCTTCCCCTATCCTGTGATTATTACATAGCCTCAGTCACTTTGGATTTTGGGGTCTCTCAGGCTCCTGGCCTCTTGGTTCCTCATCCTTGTCTTTTCAAGTATCTACCCCCACATCCTCTCATTTGTTGCTTCATTCTGGACATGTTTAGAGGCATCTGGCTATTTCTCCCTCATATCTAACAGTAAACCTTCTCCTCTCCAATATATAAGCACATACCAGTATCATTTCATTATTTTGTTTTCATTCAGCAGTGTTTATTTCACAAATATGTGTAGGAAACTGATCAGAGCATTTCAAGAACAATTAAGGTCACCCTTTCATAATTGTATGGTTTGCTATATAAAAATATGAAAAATTTATTTTTGTACTCTAAACTTTGTCAGAAAAAATTTTAACATATGTTACAATTTAGTGTTGAAATGTTTCCCTAAATGCCTGTCTGTATAGTACACAATTTCATGGTGCTATTGTAGACCAGAGGCAGAAATAGAAACCTCTGCAAATGGAGTTACAATCTAGGTGCAAGAAATTCATCCCAATTCTACAGGAGGAGGAGCCAATGCTCCAAAACTTGAGTCATCATTCCAGACACTCAAAACTTCAATTAGACTGGCTTACCCTGGAGGAAACATTGGGTGAAGCAAATGTGAATTTAAAGAAACTCATATTTAAAGGATATCCAAAAGTTTACAACATTGAGCAGTTCATGACATATTCTTGACAATTGGTTGCATTTTGTGAAAAGCACAGGGTCTTTTTAGTCATCTTTCTAGCCCTGAAAGTTACTTTTTATCACTTCATTTCAGCTTTTGTTTCCTGTTTGGCACATGGTTTAAATTGGTTACTACAAACAACCATGTTTTACTGTGAATCCTCTTCTAAGGTCTGAAAATTCAAGTAACACATATTCTCTAGAATGATTCAAACAGCACTCACTCAAAAGTGAAGATTTTGTCCAGCTTCAGTTACTCATTATCCAAAACTTCTTTCAGAAGGACACATAGCCACACATCATCAGCAGGATCTGTGAGGTGAATATCAAAATGTAATCAGATGTTAAGGTCATATTGTTCCCCAGTAAAGCCCCATCTGAGCTGGATTGTGATCTCGTGCTGTGTTTTAATACAGATATTGTCAATTTAATTAATGTCATAGTCAGACTGACTTAGAAAAGCTTGTTTCTATAACTGCACTTACTTGACCTGGACACATTAATAGTAACTGTACACAAATAACCTGTGTGCATCAGGTCCCAACTCTTTATATCAGGCATGTGAGAGTGCAGTATCCCAGGCATCCTTGTCATTGTCATTATTATTATTACTATTATTATTATCATTGTGTTGCTTTGCTGTCATAGTTATTATAATAATAATTTTTATTAGTATTAACTTAGCTTTTCAGCAGAGAATTTCTGTGCATTCTTGGCTCACCTAGTACTCTATTTGCAGGTCAGTCTGGCCTCACACTCAGAGGTTCAACTGCATCTTCCTGTTATCTGTTGGGTTTAATGACATTCAGCAGTTTTGCGTTCTCACATTTCATTCTTTACCTAAGCAAATTTTCATGGCCTCTAGCAATGGTCACCAGATTAGGTTGCATACTTCACCCTGATGAAGGGAGTCCAAAGTATTTGTCTTCATTCTCAGAGCTTTGTTGTCTATGCTGCCTCTCGTCTATGCTGATGAACTGCCCATGCCAGCAGAGAACACTGATGGCAGGAGCACATCTCTAGAATCCCAGCAAAGAACTCTGATTACGAGCACACCTCTGGAATGCCAGCAGAGAACATTGATCACGAGCATAACTCTGGAACACTGATCACTTCCTGAAGCCAACTGCCATTCCAGATATGTGCTTGTACAGCCAGAGTTGTGCACAGGTCTTGGGAAGATAAACTTCTTACAGACATTATCGGTTAACCTGTTCCTGAAGCCAGTTGCCATTGGAGATCAGGCTCTACTTGTGAAACTCAATTGGCAGCAGATATCACTTACTGGGAGCCCATCTCAGGAACTTTGATCACTTCTTGAAGCCAACTGTAACTCCAGTTCTTTGTTTGGCCTGCTGGAATTTAGTACAGGTATTTGGAAGCAAAGATTCCTACAATCAAAATCGTTTATCCCCTTCACACTATCAGTTGCCATGGGAAACATCCTTCAAGGCTCTTTGTCTGAGGAAAATAACATAAGACAGTTTTCTCTGCTCAACTGTCTTAGAAACTACCTGCCTAGGCCAGTGGAGAGAAGCCTACAGGCCTCAGCTTAGCTTGGGCCTTCTGATAACACATCGCGGTTTCTCAGAAAAAGGACCATTATCAGCAACTAAGACCCAAAAGACGAGGTTTACACCCCAGCGAAAAGCCTGGAATATTTCACAGCCAATATAGCCCAGAGGGATTTGACACATCAACAACAACTGCCACTGTCTATGTCCAGACTGAGGTTCAGAGACTCACATGTGGACCTGGAAATTGGCAAGAAATGCAGGTGGGTCAGATTCCCTGACTCTGCATGCATGTAAAGCCCATGCTATTATGCAGGTCATGAAGTATATGCAGACTCTACAGTTTGCAACTTGATTGTCATTGTTTCTTATTTCATCCTTACTTCCTTCTTCATTCTTTCTTTCTTTCTTTCTTTATTCCTTTCTGTCTTCAGTTGTTATTTTCCCTCATTAGTAGGACTGAAGTTTGAGTTCATGGATGAAGTACATGTCAGACATTGATTCTGCAAACAAAAATCATGGCCATTATCAACACAATATGATGGGAACCTTTCCAATTATTTTCCAGATTGGGCTTCTGGTTTTGTCAGTGAATGTGGAGCATCAAGTTGCAAAATGCTATGTCAGGTCTCAGTTTGAACATAAGTAGAAGCAGATGATTCCATACTGAGTTGTAATGCCTTTTAAAACATGTGGGTTAGGAAGAGGTTTAATTGTCCATGTATCAGTGACTTTTGGTTTATATAACACAATTAAATTCAAAAGCTTGATTTATTTTTATTTTTGAACCTTTATCCCCTACTTGCTCAAAAATCCTCTGAATTATTTTATAATAATTTTTAATTTAACTTTTTACACATTTCTCCTATTTCCATCACCCTCCCGCCCTTTCTGAGACCCACCTCCCCCAACCCCCAACTCCACACGATTCCACCTCTGCTCCCCAGGGAGTGTAAGACCTTCCATGAGGGAATTTTGGAGTCTGTCATATCATCAAAATATTGGTGAGAATTTACACGTGGGAAATATTTCCAAAAATGTTAGCTCATATATCAGTTGCATGTCTTGATCACACTTCCAGATGCCTTGAACAAACCAACACAGGGCATAGGCTGATAAAGTATGTATACTTTTGAGAGAACAAGTAAGACCCACTGTTAAGTCATGATTTTCTGGCAACCCTGGGCCCAATGGAGACTCAAGATGCTGGCAGTTGGTCATTGGCCAAAGAAGAGGTAGCAGCTGGGAATCAATGTTAAATTTGTTTATTTTAGTATCCTAAAGCATGTACTTTGGTACAACTGCTAATATCAGCATACATTGGAAGTGAGGCTCAGTATCAGCCAGGGCCAAAGACTTGGACATTGACCAAGAAATTGGAACTGTTGCCCATGGCAAGTGTACCTAATCTCACAGACTATAGTCTGTGTTGAAGTTTCTCAATGAATTTTGTAGATAGATGTCCTTTCCCATAAGAAGCAAAGTTCTTGATTAAGAAATTTAAGGACTCAATCTTATCCTCCCTGTGTAATGTTTCCTTCTTACATGTGTTCAGAAATGTTGTCTGACTATTATTATATTAGACTGAGTTTGATGTAGGGTATGTAATTTTCTCTAATGTGACAGCTGCTGACCTTATTCTATGTGAAGTCTCTTAAGAGCTTTGATACAGAGTGTGAGCACCACATGGAAAATTTGAATTTATTTGGTATCATATTGAGCTTGATTATTTTGGCCTCTATCCTTGGCATTGAGCACACACTGTTATTTGGAGAAAATTGAGTTTTGTATATCTGTGTTTTTATTATATTCAAAGAATATTAAAACTCCTTTTTATATTAAAATAATACAAGATATTGTCCCCTCATGTGTCTACAAAACCAAATTTTTCTTTTACTACCATATTAGTACCTTAGTTCTCGTTAACTTCTGTTACTTAAGCTTATATATATTACAATAAAATGAATATATAATCACATTTGATAAACATTATTATTTTATTTATAAATTATGATTTTTATATTTATATACATATTTATATACATTTCTTATATATAATTTTTATTTTATTTATTTTCATCCCTTCTGTATTTGACTTTCTTTGGTTCTTTTTCCTAATTCCCTGGTGATTCCCCCTTCCAATTATTCATCTCTACTCTTCCCTCCTACTCATTTTCATCTATGATTATATCTTGTGTGTATTTGTTATTTTCCTTTTTGGGGCTATTCCTTTATTTCTTCCCCCCTTATTTCTCTCTTACTTAAGCATTATGAAGTTTGAGAAGCAGTACACTACAAAGTCTTGTTGACATGCAAATTCCTATACTTGGGCTAGA